CCACCCCAACCTTGGCAATCGTAATTTTCCTCCTCTGGCCCGATTCAGCTGACCCTAGGGACCAGAGGGTCAGAACAGGGCTTGCAATGCAAGTGGAAGATAAATGACGAAAACAATCATAAAAGTGTATATTATATGAATTAACAAATAGAAATTTAATATGAATTAACAAAATTCTTCCTCCTAAACAGGAATAATTTAGCAAAATCCCTGTTAGCATTAGTATTTCTGAAGAAGGGACATAAGAGCCTGAGGTTCTGCGGTCTACAGGGGGTTCACCAGCTGTTAAGTAAGTCTAGGCCCGTACTTGGACTAGTAACGGGGAACTAACAGTGTTAATAGTTTAAACTTTGTGCGATAACGGAACCTCAGGAAGACAAGACATCTGGCAAATGCCAGGGAGTGAGTATTCTCTACCGGGCAGGCCATCCAATGGACTTCTGCCGTTAAACCCGACCCCGGGGTGCTGACCCACGAGTATTAGCCTCGAACCCACTACTCATTAGCCTGGTGTCTCTGAGCGGGGGCCTTATTATTATTAATTATTACTGTATATTAACTAAACCCCAATTAACAGATGGATGAAAAGGGAAAGGCAGTCACGTACATAAAAGAACACAGAATTGATGTTAGTTCTGCAGCAAACCCCTCAACGATTTGTATAGGAAACATTCCTGGTAATGTTTTTGCTACCTTGCAGAGGAAATTAGATAAGCAGGCGACATAGCCATCCATCAAAACTATTTCTAGATATGGAGTGAAATCAAGGCATGATGATATCAACAGAGGCCACCATTGAAGTCAACATGTCTTGTGCATAATCATGAGGAAATATCTGATAGTGCTAACATGTGGATTCATAGCACGGAATACAATGCAATGAATTTAGATGAATTAAAAGCCATCAACGATGCATTGCATGGTTTACCAGCATTAGAACAAGAGCCAGTGGACACAAAATTGTAATCACTAAGGTAATCTTCTGGAAATGAAGCTATCTGTGTCATCAGCAATATTAAATCCAGTGCAAGACCTTCAGAAGTTATTCCATGTTGGATTTAATCAGCAGCATATAGTGGTAAAGGACTGAAAATGCCAACACCGATTGTCCCTCCTTAACAGTGGGCAAGAGTGGTCCAGGTAGAATAATATGTACATCCTGAGCTGCTGTGTGCCCAAAACTGGGATGTCATATGAGAAAAGTATGAAATTCTTGAGTCAATTACAAGGCGTCGAGAAATGCTGAAGAAAAAGCAGCAACCTTGTGTGTCACCAAATGGGGCGTTTTATACTTATCATGTGATAAACCGAGCAGATGATAGAAGCTTGTCAAGAAGCTAAAAACGGAGTTAGAGATAGTTCCTGGATCTGACTCTTCTTTGCCTGGATCGGCCTTGCATCTGATTTTCATTTCTGAAGTGTCCTGGTCAGGGATCTGCAAAAAGGGACAGGTTACAACAAATCGATTTTTATTTTAGAATTTGTAAGTTATTTTACACAGAATCTTACGTGTAACATCGTATCTGATTGTTTTTCTCTGTGTTTATATTCTTGAAAGTGTCACGTCTAATTTCTTGTTTCACAGAGACTTTAAAACCGCTTAAGAAAACATAAACACAGAGGAACTGGCACCTCACAAATTTCTGATAGTGTTTTTCACCTATATGAGTTCCCCGTTTCTGATTATTGGATAGGATTGGTCGTAACGAAAATATTTCAAGTCTTTCCATGGAACAAAGAAAGGCGGTAAAAAGCAGAAAATGCAGAAATATAAGTGTTGCAAGTGGTAAGAAATAGTGATTAGATGGTACTGCGTCCATCAATCGGCAATCCGCATGAAGAAATATCATCCATCATCCCCAATAATCAATATAATCATAAACTTATAATTATAATAATGATTTTTAGATAATGTAAATGAGATGGTAGATTATCGATTAACATCGAACTATTAGTGAGTAGGTGACTGGTATTGCACAATATCAGCAGGTACAGGAATGAAGGTTAAAGCTTTTTTAGCTCTTAAAAGGTATCGAGCTTGCCTGTGATGACGTATTTTTCTGTCAATTGTTGCGCTAAATATGTGTTGCCTATGTGTCTGATATATAATGATCGTATCTTGTTTTCACAGTTGCTAGCTATTTGCTGGGTGCCCGTTGATGACATGGACCGTGATGCTTGAAAAGGTCCGTCTCAAATCATATATTGAACTTCAAATATTATGTTTCATCTTTCACATTTTATTCTGAACTTTTAAAGTAATTGGTGGAGCTGGAATGGTTTTGAGTTTTAAAATAAACATTTTTCAAGTCAGAGTAACTCGAGACAACAGGTACACTAGGTTTGAAGGGCAAACTCAAACCACTGAAGACTTTTGTGATTTCTTGGAAATAGGTTTTTTTGGTGAAAGTGAAGACATTAGTGCTTGTAGTGGATCCATTTCATCATGAGGTGTGTAATGTTTGTTATTTAAAGGAGATAACACTTATAATAATTGTAATTTACGATACCGGAAATGTAAAATAATTTACAATTCCACCTTGGTAAAAATTATCTTTCTCTTTCCGGTTGATTTTATCGCATTCATTTTTCTCCTCAGGATGTTGAAGGAGTACGAAATGTTAGCAAAGAAGATAAGTTCAAAAATGTCCTTCTCTTTGCTCTCTCGCGTGAAGCGACACCACAGTCCTCGAACGTATTCCAGACTGGAACACAACCAACACCCTCTCCGTCGCACAACCCCAGAACGGGACCGACCAGCACTGTCCTAGAAGCAGCTGTGTTTACGAGAAGAGGAGACCCATGATTGCGATCAGGCCCTGGTTGTGGGGTGGGTTTGTTATGTTCGGAGGCTTCCGAGGGATCAGAGGGGAAGCTTTATAACCAGGTGTCCAAGATATACAACAGAAGGGACCGACACAGAACGTTGGAGCCTGGGGGGAATTAAAGATGTTGTCCAGAGGAGGACAGTCCTGAACAAGAACAGTGATGCTTGAGGAGGACCCAAGCGACGTGGTTCGAAAATCGTACACTGTCAGCATTAGTGACTTGTTTTTCTTGCATTTGTCGGAAAATTAGTTATTTTGCCAACCACGAAGCAAATAAAGTTATAATTGTTTGTTCTGTGACGAAAGTGTACAAAATTTGTACCATGCCCCCCCCTGTTCAGTGTTGAAATTTGCCAATTTAACATATCCATGCCATAAAATAAAGTATATGAACCGGCGTCTGGTTGAAATATTGGTAATTGAACCATAGTAACTAATATTGGGTGTTTAAGTTGGTATACTAATCATTTACTCAATTCACACAGCGGTGAGAGATCATCAAATTTATTTGACTAAATTTACCTATTTCTGCCTTCTGGTATTTAGTATTTGCCCTATAACAATGAAATCATGGTGAACATTTTCCAACACATTCAGCTAACAAAACACATGCTAGACATTCGGCATTCTTGACAGGATGCCATAAACATGCCCCTCATATAAATTTCTTAAATGTGTGAACGGAGTTTACATGGTGCTACCATTTAACGAAAAAAGTCGCTAAATATTAGATAATCGTCATATGCATCTCTCCAATAAATTTGAATTCGAAAATTTGGTCAAACAAGGCAACAAGGGGGCCATATAAACTCTGTCACATTTTTTATAGTGGTGACAAAGGTTACAACTCATGCCGGCCGCATTTAAGCGATAGCTTATCGTCTGATAAATTATCGTGTATGCGACAAAGTTTTTCTAAGGATGAAACGATTATCCTAACCATTGAGGGTTTATATAGTTTGATAGTGTGACACATTTTACATCATCGTGCCATGTTAGTAGGGTCACTAATATTTAACCCAATATCCTCAACAAACTTTCAATGAACGTGTCATATTATATATGACCCGTGCTAATCTCGAGGGGCTTTCTCTAATGTTCAAGAAAAAATGTCGATTTTACAACTATGCCATTTTTACACTACTTTACGCAATGCCGAGGGTCCAGGAAATGAGGGGACCAATAACGATTGGGGGCTTACAATGGTCAATTTAAAACCATTTCTTGTTGGCGACATGTGGGACCATCAGGTTATATTTGTGTTTGTAGTTAATAAACTCCTTTGGGGTCCAATCAAGCAGGGCATGGCATAATTGGCTAAACAGTGCACGGTAAGACTTTCCTCAAGAAACATATCCCACTCATGAAAAGTCAGCACTATCGAAGCGTAAAGCCGACGTCCTCAACTACTTCAAACTTGTAATTCTATCAGAGACATATCTTCACCTAACCAGGTGCTTTCGGCCACTGCCGGTGCGCTTGTTTTTCTCTCAGCGGGGGGTCCATGATTAATGTTTTTGTAGTCAAACTCCTTGGGGTCCAATCAAGCAGGGCATGGCATAAGTGTTGATTAATTAAACATCTAAACAGGCACGTTTAATATAAGGTTTTCCTTGGAAACATATCACATCCAGCTTAAGTCAGCCAAATGCTACAGTCATCCAAGGCGATTTTTTTGATCTTTTTATTATGTTTTTGTCAGGGGGGTCACGCCAGGAGACGTACTTTTGTCATTGAAAAAAAAGGGCCTCTTCTTGAAGTGTATGAAAAAAGCATCACATCTCAGGTTATGCAACGCTGAAGACAGATCCTCTAGAGCATCAATTGTTATCTAAGAAGATTTATGTTCTACAGTCACGTTCTACTTAACTGGAACCCAGCTAGATTAAGCATCATTGTATGCAAAAAAATTGGAATTTTGTTTTCTTTAAAATGTGTTTGTTTTCCCTTAATACATAATACATGATTTTACTGGCAGAGTTTTGGGAGAAAGGGAACAGTTTGCAAGTTAATCAGGGTTGTGGTAAATCAGGGATTTGATTGGTTGTTTCATGTCGTATGTAAGCACTATTTGGGGGGGAAGAAAAGCCTGCAGGTTGCGATAATCAGGGCTTTACTGATCAAGTTGAGTATTCTCGACCTACTTAGTCCCCTTGCCTTGCAAACTTACAGCAAATTATTTTATAATGGGCCTAATTCCTAATACTCGCCAAAGATGGTTCCTCTAGTCAATCTGTAGTAGAAGAGAAAGAATTGACAAACAAATTAGGGTGCTGCCATTTTTGTTTTGAATTTAACAGGTCCTTGGTATTTATCCCGTTTGTCTATAGTTTTTAACTTTAAGATAACCCGTCTTATATTATTCTTATGCAGTCACTCAGATAAGATTATACCGAAAAGGTCACATTAACGACGACACATACTCTCCCCACAATAAGGGGCCATAATTGTTTCAATTAATGTGTAACTGTATAATATTATTATTATATCGGGTCCATAAGAGTCTCGAACAGCCCTAGGCATCAAAACCTTGGCACTCGGTAATTTTCCTCTGGCCCGGAGTCAGCTGACCCTAGGGACCAGAGGAGAAAGACGTAGAGACTGTGTGTATCTACAAAAGTGGATGTTTTTACAGAGACAAGGAGGCTTTGCAATGCAAGTGAGAAGAAAAATGGGCAAACATCTTAAAGTGTATATTATTGATATATCGGCGCAATCAAGGTCTCGACTGCCTATCGGCATCTAACCTTGGCAATCGTAATTTTTCCTCTGGCCCGGAGTCAGTCTGGACCCTAGGGACCAAGGGTCAAACAGGGCTTGCAATGCAAGGGAAGAAAAATGGGCGAACAATCATAAAGTGTATATTATATGAATTAAACAAATAGAATTTTATAATGAATTAAACAAAAATTCGTCCTCCTAAACATGAATATTTAGCAAACATCGCAATCTATGCATTAGTGTTGTGAGAAGTGGACATAAGATGCCGGAGGTTCGGTGGTCTACAGGTTTTCCACCAGCTGTTAGGTCAAGTTCTAGCCCGTGAACTTGGACTAGTAACGGGGAACTAACAGTGTTAATAGTTTTAAGACTTTGGGCTATAACGTGAACCTCAGGAAAAGACTCTGCAATGCCTGGGAGGGAGTAGCTCTATCCCGGCCTCCATCCAACTGGACTGCGTCCGTTACCAACCGACCCCGGGGGTGCCTGACCACGAGTATTAGCCTCGGACCCACTACTCCCTAGCTCTGTATTTCTGAGCGGGGCCTTATTATTATTAATATACTGTATAGTTCACTGATCCCCAATTAACAGATGCGAAAAGGGGAAAGGCAGTCCACTACATGAAAAGAAACCCACAGAATTGAATGTTAATTCTGCAGCAAAACCCTCACGATTTGTTAGTAGAAACATCCGGGTAATGTTTATGGCTACTCTGCAGAGGAATTAGATAAGCATGCGACAAGCCATCCATCAAAACTATTTCGTGGATATGGAGTGAAATCATTTCATGATGATATCAACAGCTTCCCAACCATTTGAAGCACAATGTCTTGTGGCATAATCATAGGAAAAGATCTGATATGCTACATGTGGATTCAATAGCACTGAAGATACAATGAATTTAATGAATTAAAAGCCATCAACGAGTGCATTGCAAGTGGTTTTCCAGCATGAGAACAAGAGCAGGTGGACACAAATTTGAAATCACTAGATGATCTTTCTGGAATGAAGCTATCTGTAGGATGCTACATCAGCAAATATAAAAGCCAGTGCAAGACTTCAGAAGTTAGCACATGGGTTGGATTTTAATAGTTCGAGCAGCAGTATATGGTAAAGGACTGAAAAGTGCCAACTGACCGATTGTTTTCCTTCCCCTCCTTAAACATGCAAGAGTGGTCCAGGTAAGAATAATAGTCATCCTTAGCTGTGTGGCCCAAAACTGGGATTGTCATTGAGAAAAGTATGAAAATTCATGAGTCAATTTACATGGCTCGAAGAAAATGCTGAAGAAAAAGCAGCAACCTTGTTGTGCACCAAATGGGTGCGTTTACGATCACTGTGATAAACCGGAGCATATGATAAGCTTGTCATGAACTATAAAACTGAGTTAGAGAGAGTTCCTGGATACTGACTTCTTCTTTGTCCTGGAGTCCATGCATCTGATTTTCATTCTGAAGTTTGTTCCTGGTCAGGATCTGACAAAAAGGGACAGGTAACAACAAATCGATTTTTATTATAAGAATTTTTTTGGAAGTTATTTTACACAGTATCTTACTGTAAACATCTTATCTAGTGTTTTCTCTGTGTTTATATACTTGAAGTGACACGTCTTAATGTCTTTGTCACAGAGACTTTAAAACCGCTTACAAAAAAACAACACAGAGGAAACCCTGGCACAATTCAAATTTCGGATAGTGTCTTTTCACCTAGTATTGAGTTCCCGCCCAGTTTCTGATTATTGGGATAAGGATTGGTGCGTCGAATAAGTTCAATTCTTTCCATACCAAGGTAGGGCGGTAAAAAGGCGGAAAAGCGAGAAAAAATAAGTGTTGCAAGTGGTAAAAGATGATATGGGACCTGCGTCCTGCAATCGCAATCTCATGAAAGAATATCTCCCCAATAATCAATATAATCATAAACTTATAAATAGAATAATGATTTTAGATAATGTTATAATGAGATGTTAGATTTCGATTACATCGAACTATTATGAGTATTGACTGGTCCTTTTGCACAATAGCAGCATGTACAGTATGAAGTTTTAAAAGCTTTTGCTCTTAGAATGACACTTGCTTGCTGTAGGACGTAGTTTTCTTCAAATAGGTTTGGCCTACTGATTTCTATTGTCCTGATATATAATAGCGTATTCTTGTTTCAGTTGCTATCTAATTTTCTGGTGCTGTTGATGATGACCTGATGCTGAAAAGGTCGTCCAAATCATAACTTGATACTTTCACATATGATGTAATTGTTCATCATTTCAACATTTTAATCGAACTTTATAATAATTGGTGGAGCTGGTATTTTTAGTTTTTAAAATAATCATTTTCAGAGTCAGAGTAACTCGCACAACAGGTACGACAGGTTTGTAGGGCTACTCTAACCAACTGAAGACGTTTGTGATTTCTTGGAAAGGTTTGGTGGAAATGAAGACATTATTGGTTTAGTGGATCCATTTCTTCATGAGGTGGGTAATTGTTTTTTGTTTAATTTAAAGGAGATAACAACTTAAAATATTGTAAATTGACTATACGGAAATTGTAAATAATTTACAATTCCACTTTGGGAAATGAATCTTTCTCTTTCAGGTTGATTTAATCGCTTTCTTTTCCTCCTCAGGATGTTGAAGATACAAATGTTAGCATAGAAATAAGTTTTCAAATGTCCTTCCCTCTTCTCGCGGTGTAAATCAGCAACACCACTTCCTCGAACGTATTCATACGGAACACACATCCACCACGTCCGGTCGCAACAACTCCAGAACTGGACGACAGCGACTGTCCTAAAGCAGCGTTTACGAGGAAGGAGAGGACCCAAGATTGCAGATCTGGCCTCTGTTAGTGGAGGTTGGTTTTGTTATGTTCGACGCGTCCGAGGGATCAGAGGGAAGCTTTATAACCTAGATGTCCCAAGTTATAACAACAGAAAGGTCCGACACTGAACGTGTTGAGCAGCTGGGGATTTAAAGATGTGGTTCCCAGAGGAGACAGTCCCCCAGAACAAAGAACGTGATTGCTTGAGAGTGGACAAGGAAGTGTGTTCGAAAATCTGTACACTGGACATAGTGACTGTTTTTCTTGCTTTTTTTCGTAAATTAGTTATTGTGGTGCACACGGAGCAAATAAAGTTTATAATTTTTTTTGTGACGAAATTTACAAATTTTTACCCTGTTTCAGGGTGTTGAAATTTTGCCAATGGTTAACATATCACGTGCCATAGATAATAATTATATACCGGCGAAGGGTTGAAATATTGTTAATGGCTCCATATACGTAATTATAGGGTGTTTTAAGTTGGTATACGCCTATTTACTCAATTTCACACATGTTTTAGACTCATAACACAGTTATGTGACTAAACTTTACCTATTTCTTTCCGCTCCAGCCGTTCTGTATTTGTATTTTTGCCTATAACAAGTGAAATATGTGATCATTTCCAAACACATTCAGCTAACAAAACATGCTAGACTATTCGGCATTTTTCGTGTCAGACTGCCATAAACAGCCTCATTATAACTTTCTTAAATGTTGACGGAGTTTACAGTGGTGCAACCATTTAACGAAAAAAGGTCGCTAAATATGTAGATAATAGTCATATGCAACTAGCCTATAAATTTGAAATATCGAAAATGTGGTCAAACACTGGCAACAAGGGGTCCATATAAACTCTGTCACATTGTTTTATAGTGTGACAAAGTTTTACAACCCACTGCCCGCCACCGCCTTTAAGCGATATCGTAGAGTCTGATAAATATACGTTATGCACAAAAGTTTTTCTAGGAGGATGAAACGCATTATCCTAACCATTGGGGTTTATATAGTTTTATAGTGTGACACATTTTACATCCCATTCGTGCCATTTAGTAGGGTCACTAATATTTACCATATCCTCAACCTTCAATGAACGTGGTCCATATATTATATATTACCGTGCAATCACGAATGGACTTCCTAATGGTCTAATAAAAATGTCTATTTTACACTATGCCTATTTTTACACTACTTTACGCAATGCCCGATGTCAGGAATGAGGGACCAAAACGAGTGGGCTAACTATGGCCAAGTTAGAAACCATTCTTTGTTGCGACAGGTGGGACCATCAGGTTATGATATTGATTTGTAGTTAAACACCATTGTGGTCCAATCTAGCAGGGCATGGCTAATTGCCTAAACATTGCACGTTTAAGCTTTCCTCAAAAAACATATCCCACTCAATGATAAAGTCACCATTCGAAGCGTAAGGCGACGTCCTCCAACTTCAACATGTAATTCTATGCATGTACATATCGTTTCACCTAACCATGGTGCTTTCGTGCCATGCCGTGCGCTTGGTTTCGCAAGCGGGGTCCTGATTAAATGGTTTTGTATTCATACTCCTTTGGGGTCCATCATGCAGGGCATGGCTAAATTGTTTGATTATTAAACACTAAACAGTGCACGTTTAATATAAGTT